TTCACAAAGGTGCTAAGAACATATATTGGAGAAAGGACAGTGTTTCCGAAATTGCATATCTACATATAGATCAATGAAGCTATACCTCTATCTGTCACCAGTTACAAAAGTCCACTCAAACTGCATCAAATAATTAATTGCAAGACATGACACTACTAGAAGAAAATGTAGCAAAACACTCTAGTACATTGAAATGGACAAGGATTTTTCAGACAAATCCCCAAAGCAAAAAGGGACAAATGGGATTACATCAAGCAAAAAATCTTCTGCATGGCAAAGGAAATCACTGATGGAGTGCAGAGACAACCTACAAAACAAGAGAAAATATTTGCAAACTGTAATGTGACAAGGGGTTGCTATCCAGAATAAATAAGGAACTCTAATAACTCAGTAGCAGAGAGAGAGAGAGAGAGAGAGAGAAAAGAAAGAAAAAAGTGAAAATATGAGCACTAGATCTAAATAAACTTTTCTCAAAGAAAATATACAAATGGGGCCAACAGGTATCACTCAGTATCATTAATCATCAGGGAAATGCAAATCAACATTTCCTTACAATCAGCTATCACCCCACCCTGGTAAGAAAGGCTATTATAAAAAAGATTAAAGATGCACACCATTGGTAGTAATGTAATGTAAATTCATTCAATCATTGTGGAAAACAGGGTGGAAATTCCTCAAAAAATTAAAAATAGAACTACATATGATAGAGCAACCCCATGCCTAGGTTTGAATACATAAAAGAATAGAAATCAGTATATCTGCACTCCAAGGTTCATGGTAGCACTATTCACAGTAGCCAAGAAATGATAACAGCCTAAGTCTCCATCAACTGATAAATGGATAAAGACATTTTGGTACATATACAGCAGTGGAATACTATTTAGCCATAAAAAGGAATGAAATTCTGTCATTTGCATTAACATGGATAGAACTGGAAATCAATCATTATGTTAAATGAGATAACCCAGGAATACAAAGAGAAGTACCACATGATCACTCATGTGGAATCTAAAAAAAAGTCGATCTCAAAGAAGTTGAGATAGAATGTGGTAACCAAAGGCTGGGGAGAATAGAGGGAAGGTAGGAACTGGGAAAAGTCAATCAGTATGTATCTAAGCTACAGTTATGTAGGAGCAAGATGTTCTGGTATACTGTTTATTGAACAATAGGGTGATTATAGGTAATAAAAGTATACCATACATTTCAGAAAACTAGAATAAAGAATTCTGGAAGATTTTACCATAAATAAATTATACATGTTTGGGAGATTTTTACCTGAATTAAACATTACACATTACATACATGTATTGAAATATCACATTGCCCCATTAATATGTATAGTTTTTATACTTTAATGAACCAGTTAAGAAATTTAATTTAAAAACAACAACAAAAGAAGAACATGGTCTTAAAGAGGTATGTATACTATTGGTGTTATCTGTTTATATCCTACTGAATTGGAGTGAAAAGTGTTGCTAATTCAGTCCCAAGCTAGCGGCTGGTCTCTTTCTAGTTTTAAATAATCCTTTTGTCTTTCAGGATTACCCTTGGGTGTCCAGTATTAATTAACTGAAGTAATTTTGAAAGATGGTGTATTATCTTTCAGGATCTTTATTGAGGCCACCGATTTTATTTTACTCTTATACAACAGGAGTAAGTTGGTTTAAATTTTCTTTAAAAATGTGCCTCAGTAGCATCTGAAATGCCTCATTGATTTGGCCTCCACTTTTTTTAAAAAAAAAGAGACATTATTTTTCAAACTTTATAGTTTATCTAAACTATAGCTGAAGTCATGTCCTTTACAGCTTAATGGACTCATAATGCATGATTACACAACTTCAGAACCCATTTTGTTAAATGAAGTGGTGACATTTTATGCACTATTAAGCCAACTAGAATAATTTTCTTGCTCTTAGCCATAACTTCTCTGTGTCCTTATTGAAAAAATTCTGGGGTGTGTTGTAGAAGGTTTTGACAGGAGAGAGTGTTTCTAAAGATATGTGGAAACAGGGCCTTTTTACCATTAGTCCATCAAGAAAAATATGGCAGAAAAAAATTCATGCAATGGGAAAGTGGTTGAAATGCCCCAGTTTGTGTTATAATGCATTAAGTTATATTTATTTTGTAATAGTTCGATTGGAAAAGTGAATTTTAAAATTACTGCCTTATTTCCTTTTTTTAATGCCTTACCAGTTATAAGAGCACTAGTGTGTGTGTGTGTGTGTGCGCGCGCATGCGTGCGTATGTGTGTGTGTGAAATAAAAGTATTAAAAACTATACTTTTAGCATTTCATATTTGTGCCATCTTATTTATTTAAAGCATTTCAGGTTGGTAGTCCTTCTGTTTTCAGTACAATATGAACAGTTTTATTTCTGTTGTGTTTTGCACAATAAACTGCCTAAAAGACTAGCAAAATAATTTTCTGAGCCCTATGGGGATAATCATAATATAAAAGTACCCTGTATTATATAATGTTCTGTCTTGGGTTTCTTATATGTTGACAGTTTTCCCTATTCCTTGCTGTGAAAATATACTTGAAATTGTATAACTCTTTCCCCTTTGAAATGAATTAATTTTTTTTATTATGTGTAAATTATAGAAAATACAAGGAACCAAAAAGAAGAATATAAAAAATTATCAAAGATTCCACCCACTCCAGCTACTGTTGTTAACACTTTGGGGGGTCTTGCTTTCTGGATCCGTTTGTATGTACATGTGACTCATTCATATGTCATGTTTTTTCCCCACAAAATAAGTTTTTTATTCTGTTTTTATCCATTTAACATGTTTTTGTGTCACTACATATATTTCTGAATGAATGTGTTTTGTTATATGTATTCACTCTAATTTGTTTATGCTATTCTACAATGTTGATCATTTACACTATTTCCGATTTTATTTCTATTAAAACAGCATGAACATAAACATCCTTTTAACTAAATTTTCATTCCTTTATGCAATACTCATTGAGTAACTACTGTATGTCAGCCACTACATTTGGTACTGGATTACAACTGTGAGTACAAAACACAGAGTTACTACTCACATGGAATTTAAATTCTAGCAGGAGAGTGGATGTCAATCAAGTGATCATACTGCTGTATAGGTAGATTATAACTGAAGTGGATCCTTTTGAAAAGGTTGTAGGGCTGGGAAGGGATGTATTGCAAAAAGAGATTATTCTAGACACAGTGAACACTATTGCACAAAGGCCCTTTAGCAGGAGGGATTATGGCATGTTAGAGGAACTAAAAGAAAGCCAGTGCAGCAAGTGCAGTGCTATAAGTCATGACTGAAAAGGAGTCAGGGGCCAAGCTAAGCAGAGCCTTGTAAGCTATGTTATAGGCTTTGTTCTTTATTCCAAGGATGATTGGATGCTGCCTAATAAGCTGGAAGTGCTATCTGATTACAGGTGAATTTATTAGATAGGGAACAGAGTAGATGCAGGGAGATAATTTAGGAGGTCATTGCAGTGACTGAATCACTGTGAGTATTGATGATAGCTTGGTGGTATGTTGGTGGTAGGCAAATTCAAGAGATTTTTCAAGAGGTAAAGTTGATTCAACTTGGGGCATATTTTAAAGATGTTTTTAGCATAAGTTCCCAGAAGTTGAATTTTTGAGACAAAGGGCAGAATTATTTTAAAGGCTTAAAATAGATATCAGATTGCTTTCTAAGATTATTTCAGAGTACTCTTCATTAATAGTGCATTAGAATGCTTATTTCTGTACACCATCACCAGCAATGAGCATCATCTTTTCTTTTTCTTTATTGAAACTTTTCCAGAAATTGAGTTAATATTTCAACTTTTTGAATGGGGACTTTTATACCAAGTATAATGATGTAGTGTGTGTGTGTGTGTGTGTGTGTGTGTGTCACACACACACACACACACATCCTTATTTTGGTTTTAGGAAGTATAGATATGATTCTTTTTGTGGGTGGGCAATTGAACCCAGAGGTTCACTTAACTACTTAGCCACATCCCCAGACCATTTTTAATATTTTACATAGAGACAGGGTCTGTCTGAGTTGCTTAGGGCCTCACTAAGTTTCCGAGACTGACTTTGAATTCGTAATCATCCTGCCTCGGCCTCTGGAGCCACTGGGATTAAAGACATGTGCCACCATGCTTAGTTGGATATGATTCTTCTCCTTTTTTTTGGGGGGGGGGGTTACTATGGATTGAACTCAGGGGTACTCAATCACTGAGCCACATCCCCAGCCCTTTTTTTTGTATTTTTTTTTATTTAGAGATAGGGTCTCACTGAATTGCTTAGTGCCTCGCCATTGCTGAGGCTGGCTTTGAACTCATGATCCTCCTGCCTCAGCCTCCCGAGCAGCTGGGATTACAGGCATGCACCAACACAACCAGCTTGGATATGATTCTTAATATTCCACCTCTAAAGCCGAAACCAAAACCAAAAGACTTAATGGAACTGTTGCCCCAGGAAGATGGAAAAAAGAAAAATGTGAGCTGAATTTAGGGTAGATTGATTATGACTGGAAAATTGCATTTTTGTTGACATTTTTAATAACCACCTCTGTTTAATATAGCCAATACCAAAACCCCTACTTTCCTAAATGCAATATTGTAATTCTTCTTTACCATGAGTTTGAACCTAGGATTCCAAAATTGACTACAAAGGTGGAAATATTTGTAAAGTTATATGTAGTGGTATATGGCTTAATAGATAAAAAAATAAAAAATAAATGTATAGTACATGCCCCCTTGCCATTACTCAACTATTTTTTAGTATTATGTGGATTACTATAGTTAAAAGTAAGAAATCTAAGAGAAATGAGTAGCTTTTTTTAAAAAAAAACAATTGAAATAGTTTATTTTTCTCCAAAGTTTGGAAATAATGGCCTTAGATTTATAATAAAAGTTATATATAAAATTTTGTGTATTTCTTAAGTATTTGCATAATTCTACATTACTAACCTATGGTTACATTTGGAATGACATTTTATTGCTTTGTTTTCTCTCTTTGAACAGTTAAAAGATGTTGATACTCGGAAAATCATAAAAGCAATGCTTTCATATGTATGGCCCAAAGACAGACCAGATCTACGAGCTAGAGTTGCCATTTCCTTAGGATTTTTGGGTGGTGCAAAGGTAAGAAGGAGAGAAATGTATTGTTTTGTTGCTGTGCTAAGAAATACTGGGACATTCTGTAGTCATTGTAGTCATGAACTCTGAGTTAGTATAAGCCACACCTCGGGAAGCATGGCCAACTTTTAGGATCATCGTTTAGTTTATATAATTATTTTATGCAATGAGCAGAAATTATATGGTAATATATTATCTCTAGATCATACATCTAACAGCTTTAACTTAATGGAATTCGCTCCTAAAAACCAATATAAAATACAGGAACATTGGTTGTAACAAAACTCAAGGAACTTTATAAAAGACATTCCTCAGAGTCATCTTGGCTCTTTTTTAATACATATTTTTGAGTCAGTATGGTCCCCAGTTCCCAGTAAATTAAAAAGAAGATAAAGGAATCTTAGGTGCTTGATAGCCTTAAGTGGTAAATAACAGTTCAACATCAAGGGGAAAAATGGGAAACTGAATAAAGAGGAAACAAAAAGCCACAAAAGTTGGGTGTGTTCATTATAGGGATTCTGTAATTCAGCAGCCTATTTTTCATTATACTGTAAAGCAAAGTTGTAATGACAACTGAGTTTTCAAGGAAATAATATTTATTTTCAATTTATTCAGATTAAAAAATCAGGCACATATACATTGAAAGGTATAATATATTGTCACTATGTAGAATGTGGTCTCTGGAGTCAGACTGCCTGGACTCTAATTAACCTTGTAATCTTGGGCAAGTTGCTTTGTCTCCATGCCTCAGTTTCCTAATTTATAAAACTGGGTTATTATAAAGATTAAGTAAATTAACATTCAAAAAGCTTAGAACTATACCTGGTGGTTAGTTAAATATAAATGTTAAAATAAAATTTAAATGTTCAAAACTATGGTAAAAAGTGTTTGCATAAAATATAAATGAAATTGGCAATAATTTGGTTATTCTTTTTATATATGAAGATTAATAGTTTGTTTAAAACCTGGGTCTTGCCACTTCTTTCTTTCCTGTATCACATTTCCTTCTATTTACACATTCTTTTCCCTACTCTGAAAATATATTGACAACTTATAACTACTGTTCTTGGCATTGCATTTAAATATAACTAAAGCTAATTTCTTCCCACAATTCATACAGATTATGGCCACTTTTATTTTATTGCTTTAATACAAAGTAGGTCATAAATGATTTAAAGAACTACCAGCCAAGTGTTGTTTTAGGGTAAAGATAGAAGTAATCACTATGACGAGAAATCAGGAAGTGTTACACAGAGGAGATGGCATCTGAGACAGGCCTGGATCAAGGAGTAGGATTGTTACAGGCATAGAAATAATTTAAACGATGGTCTAGGGAAAGCATATAGAATGTATAGAGAAGTGAATGGTCTGTCTTGCCTCCAATGAGGGAAAACTGTTTTAGAGGAATGGGAAGTAAGCTTGGAAATAAATAGAGCTCCTGATGTTAAATGCCTTAACTGTAAAACAAAACAACAACAGTATATATATTTAATTATATAAGAAATAGGAACTTTTATTTGTTTCTTTATATTTGCGGTGCTGGGAATCGAATCCAGGGCCATGTGCATGCGAGGCAAGCATTCTACCAACTGAGCTATATCCCCAACCCCTTGGAACCTTTATTTTGAGGAGAAAATTAATAAAGTTAGAGTTATGCTTTAGGGAATTATTCTGGCCCTGTTGTAGAAGACAGATTAAAGTAGAGATACCATTCAGTTCATACATTTTTTTCAGATAATATTTACCAATTAGTTATGAGGCTAAAGTAATAATCTAGGTAAGTAGTAATAGCAGTTTGTACTAGAGTGATGGTAAAATGGTACCGTGGAAGGAAAATATGTCAGAGATGTGAGGTAGAGTCAACAACACTTAACAATGGATTGTTTATTAGAAGTAAAAAAAAAAAAGGAATAGGGTTCATAGATGATGCCAAAATTAAGACAATAATAATGCCTTTAACAAATAGGGACCAAGTCAGGAGATCTTGTTTAGGAAATGCAGATCTTGCTTTAGGACACGTTAAGTTTTAGATGCTAGTAGAACATCTAGATAGAGCAGTTGAACTGATAATATAAAAGCAAGACAAGCTGGGGTTATCACTCAGTGATAGAGCACTTGCCTAGCACATGTGAGGTACTGGGTCCAATCCTCAGCACCACGTAAAAATAAATAAAAGTGTGTCCATCTACAACTAAAAATTTTTTTAGTAATGCAAGACAAGATCAAGAAGGAGCCCAGGGTTAGAGATTCAAGAGGTGAATGTTGAAACAATGCAAATTTGTGAGTTCACCAAAGAAAAGAACAGAAATAGAAGACTACTCATGACAGAGCCTTTGTAGTAGAATCTGGGAAGGAATAATTGAAGAGGTAAGAGTAAAACGAAAGTAATTCATAATCAGATTCTCCATTTTCATGTCTCCTTTCTCATCAGTAGGCACTGTTGAATATTCTCACAATGAATCTGACCCATTCCCAAAAGAGTACTTACTTAAATCAACATGCTGAGCAACAGATCAAGAATCCCATGCTTTATTCTATTTGTTTAAGCTGAACAGAGAAAATGATATTACAAATCTAATTTTAGTAGCTAATGTTAAAATTTTTAAACTTTCATTTCATTTTTAGCACAGTACTGGCTGCTGGATTGTCCTTAACATATGAATTACTTAAGGATAAATATGATTCTGTGCTGTTATGCAAGGCAAAATTAGCAAATTGGCCTTTATTTGTTTATTGGCTGAATGTATATACCTTGCTGACAAGTTAAAGAAAGATGATTTTCTGGACTTTCCTTTGACTTAAAGAGAACAGGTTAGAGCAAGACTAATTAAGCTAGTCAAAAGGAAGAGTCTTAAATAATGACATTTATATTAGGATTTATTTTTAGAGTGAGTTCCAATGCTTCAGAAATATGGAGTTCTGTTGCTTGGTGACAGGTCAATATCGGTATGAAATCTAGATCTAAGCTAACTTCCTTAAGGGCTGAAATATTATTAGAACGCAAATTTATTTTGTTGTTCAGTCAATATATACTGAATATCCACAGAATGGAAAGTGTTGTACTAAACTCTTATAAATTAATTGCAAATAAATACAAATGAATATCGAAAATCCTTAAAACATGTTTGATTGCTTTTGAATCAAGAAAATAAGAAATTGCCAGATGTTATGAGGAGTGCCTTCTAGTACTTTCAAAGAATATAGTAACAATTTTCTTTTTACTAGACAAGAAATAGACCATAGAATAATAATTTGATGCATTCAGAACATAGCATTAACCATTGTAAACACCCATTTTCCAGCTTGTAGACTATTCTCAGTTTAAAATTGATCACTCTTCCAAATCTCCAAAAACTGATTATTGTTTTTTTTAGCAGTATTGCGAGTGTGCTTTATAACTGGTGTGAAAAGATGGATTGTTATTCCTTTTTGTTCCTTGGCTTCCTATTTTTCCTTCAAACCTGATTGCACACTTTGACCTGTAAACACTTTGGAGTAATTAAGACCCATTGTACTCTGGTCTTCTCTGATCTTCCCTTCCTCCACATATTCTTGGAGTTTTAGTGCAGGGTCTAGGAACTTTCTCAGCTCTAAATGCCATCCATCTGTCTGTGTGGCATTGATGGTATTATGAATAAGCTTGAGGCACAAGTGAGAAGGAAGAAAGAAATATCAAGTGAAAAGAAGAAAAAGGGATGAGGGAGCTGGTGATATAGCTCAGTTGATAGAGTGCTTACCTCGCATGCACAAGGCCCTGGGTTCAATCCCCAGCACCAAAAAAAAATGGATGAGGATCTCATGCATGGGCCCACAGCATACCATCTACTTGCTTATTTACCTTTGAATGCTCTTGATTCTGAAACTGTTAAGGCTATCACTGTCACCAACAAAGATTTTAAATAAACAGCATCATATAGAGATGATTTGGAGTAAACCAAGAGGGATTGGCATTCTTTTTTTTTTAATATTTTTATTAGTGGTTGATGGGCCTTTATTTTATTTATTTATATGTGGTGCTGAGAGTTGAACCCAGTGCCTCACACATGCAAGGCAAGTGCTCTACCACTGAGCCACAACCCCAGCTCAAGGATTGGCATTCTTTGTATCAGACAAACAGCAATTCTATTTTAATATGTTGGAGTTCTATATGTGACATATTTTAGGGGTTCTGCTGCCAAGTAAGAGAGAAAAGAATGCTATTTTCCTTCATTCCTTAAATTCCTACATATTTTATGCAGTATCTTTTATCACAGTCTGTGCATATATCATAGGAGTATCATATCATCATTAATTGAGGATTCTGAGATCTTTTAAGGTTTTTGTTTTTCAAATTCAATATTTCTATTAGTATTTTTCAAAAGGATTTAAGGGAAATATAAAGAAAAATAAAAATCACCTGATTTTACAAAACAGATATTACTTTTAATATTTCCCCCAAAAGTTTATTCATATTCTCTAACCTCCCCCATCTTGGAAACCACTGTAGGCAAATGAAATTAAAGTATCAAGTACAAAAAGGCACTTGATTAATAGTCTGTTAAAGACCAAAACAAGCTATCTTTAATATTATAAAATAATAACTAGAGATAGTGTGATTTATCAATATGAAATCAATATCTTTTTTCTTCAGGGATGCAACTCTTATTTAACTAAGGACTAATGTGTGTTTTGAGCATACTTTTATTGAGTGACCATTGAGTAAAAAATACTATGCTGGGCAAATGGGAATAACAAAATGAATAAAATGTGGGCCTTGCCCTCATGGAGTTGCTGTGTACTAATGGTGAAAATATAATGATAAAAACCTGTGACATTATATAAGTATCCAAAGGGAGATGCAAGTGAAATTTTATGGGAGTGCAAATGATTAGACATTTGGGAAAGGCTTCAAAAATTTCATACATTTCTTGCTTGAGTTTGATGTTTTGAAAATCTTCTGAAAAATAAAACATCACTATCTGAAGTCTTTAATTAAATTGAGAAATAGTATTTATACCCTGAAGTAT